TCGGATGGAAACGTGAATAATGCAAGCCCTTAACACAAGTTGAAGTGAATCGGTGGTTCGGTTCGTTCATCCAACTCATTATTACAGCCTGTTCTTATGCTGCTACCAAGACCAATCGAGCGCATTTAAATACTGATCTTTTTGCTTTCATATTTGGCTACTTATATTTGCATATATTTGACAAGTAGGTAGGTCCGTATTCCTGTTTGGTTGCACATTGACCTTCGAACGCACACAGAGGAATACTTCCCACATGGATTGGCATTCCACGTTTGGCAGGACATTTTTTGATTTGCTGACATCCGCGGTCACCCGCATAGCAGGATTTTCTAATTTAAGCAAACCTTGATTAAATGCTTTAAAGATAACCACAGCCGCCAGCGGGTGTTCCGCAGTAACACATGCCAACGTTGGACGTTTATGTAAAAGTAATAAATTGCATCATATAAAACCAATGCTACTAAATATAATAAGTAGTAATGTTTATTAAAATATATATAGCAGGCGTTATTAATAAGGGATTGCTAAAATGTGAAGTCAGCAAATCTTCAGCATTGTTCTAACTGCTTGGTTTTCAAATTAATAAAACTGGAGTGCAAGAAATAAGAGTTTTTTGATCGGAGCGAAATGACACCGAATCTAATTGATTTTGAGAAGTGATTTTCGGATAACTGGGTTCTGGATCCCTACTGGAACCTATGAATGAACATGAATCGATTTTAGATTGAAATAGACTTTACATTTGTGCATGCTAGGCAGCCAATGGAATGTTATTGAGGAAATAATGACCAAAAAGCAAGAAAATAGTTCAATATTTTAGAAGTAGTGGTAAATTTTTAGTCTTGGTAGGATTATAAACACAGTAAAATATTAATCCCGGCATATTAGCGCCGATTTAAGAGTAAAACGTACCCTGCACAAGTCCCCCAAAATAGAGAGTCTGAAGGTACTCGTTCTCGCGCATAAAACCGCGTAGCGGCGAAGCCCACCCTTCGGCCAGCACCTGAACCCACTGAAGATCGACCTCAGTTATCTCGAGCTTGGGCAGAGCTTCCGCTTTTTCGCGGAAAGCACTCCTCTCCGCGGCCGGCACGTAGAGCTCGCAGATTTTGGCCCCAGTCCAGGATGGAATTATATCCTAGGAAAATATGGTTACTATATACAATAAGTAGTAAGAGTTATTGGTTGAAACGAATCGAATGTACTTCGTGACCCGAAATTCACAAATACATTCTTCTAGTTGCTTGTTATAATGACAAGAAGCACAGTAGTTTGACAATTGAAGAGAATTGGCCAGTTTTTGCCAAGATATTTGCATACTTGGGGATATGAGCGATGACTGACGCAAGCAACAACAGTGATTCACTGGGATCACGCCGCTTCGGGTGAATACTACTTTAGCCCAAGCACCTTTGCTCCACCTTTGCTCTTTTAGCGTTTTCCGCTCTTTTTTCAGGCGCCGAAGCTCGCGGTGCAAAACAAAACAAAGCGGCAGTTCGGAGTTGTATTTTTGCAGTAAATTTGTAAGGTCACAATTACGTAAAACACAACTTGCACGTGCTATACGCAATTCTAAACACGCTACACGGTCGTGTGAAAGGCACGCACATGCCAGACCTCGTTTGTGGCCGTCAAAAACAGCCAATGGGATGGTACTGGGTGAAATGCAGTACCTTTGTGTACCTCCAGAATGTTACAAACAGGAAACCCTGGGATACTCAAGAAAAATACCAAGTTATTGACAAATGTAGGTAGTAACTAAGTGATTTACACACGTGGCGTGTGCATAACCAGTTCGACAGCCTGAGAAGCGAAAGGGTGAGTCTGTTCATGCGTGCGTGTGTTATTTGGAGTACATCGCACGGCAACGCAGTCCATGATTCTGATTGGCAGGCTAAAAAGACCCAGATTCCGCGAGGTGATGGAGCACAGTAATTCAAACAAGGCAACGGCCAAATCGTACCAATGAAGTGAAAAAAAAACAAAAACACAAAATTCTTTCCACTCTTGTTTGTGAACTGAAACGTCTTGAGAGGTCCAGTTTGTCGCGTCGACGTCGTTAACTACGGTAACGTCCATTGACGAGGCAGGTGACGTGAATTATTGTGCATTGCATTGTGCCAGTGCCAACGAATGCAGACCGATTCAGGTCGGACAATTTTTGACCCCAACCCCACGTGGAGCCAATCAAATGAGCCAACTAACTGTAAAGGCAATTCACGGTATTCACTTAGTCAGAACAAAATTCGAGCTAAACCGGGGTTTCGGGGACGACAACAGACTTTGTCAGGGTAAACTTTGAACAAACCGAGAAAGCCTGTGTGCGTGGGGAAGGCGAAAATTACTTCTGGAGTGTGGTCCCGGGCCCCTAGACTAACCCTGTTAGAAGGCAGGGCTTCAACAGTGAGGCGTGAATGCAACGTGAAATGCCACCCCAGAATGTACTAAAAGTCACCCACGCAGAAAAAGAGCCACCGACTATGCCAGACAACTTCATGACCCGCTAGGTGTGCCTGTCAACAGCGGCCTAAGGAGCAGATAGAGTAAAAGCCTCATGTCTGATGTGGCAATTGAAATATTGACTTGGCTTTTGCTAAAAACAAGCAAGATTTAGAGCAACTCGATGAGCTACCTTCGTCAAGGTCAATTAATCGATGTGTAAGGTCATCCGTTTTGTTTAACTGAGGCTTATTTTTGACCGGTTGGATTACTTGTGCCCGGAAAGCCAATTCCTGTTTAATTCTTCTTTACCTTCGAGCCTACTGATAGGGTGGCAGGTTAAAACACACATGTAATTCAGAGAAGACCTCTTTACTGCGTTCAATCTCTGCGCCACGCACGATTCACGGGGGAGACACGATTACCCAACCCGTGACAGCCGTTCCAGCTGTCCGATGGATTTCGGTGGGGGGCTTTTGGATGAACGTTTGGACGAAAATGGGTACCACATCATGAAATGCTTCGCTGCGAACGGAAGAACATTTGCTAACGACCTGGACGAGGCTCATAAGATGGGAACGTGGAAGGGGCATTTCGATGAAATTACGACCTATCAGGGCAAATCAAAACTCCTGCATCGCATCGCCAACGGGAACGAGAATCAGTGACCTTATGCAGCGAGCAATGCATTTCTATATGTTGGAATTTCGAAAGGACGATCAGATATATGCCCCCAACCCAGGACAATGGCGCAAGATTTTAGAACACATGCAGTGCACGATGGAACATGGTAGACGCAGTGAGGCAGATGAATTGTCTTGTAAACAAGCATAAGCACCTCAAGTGCCTAAACTTGCACCAGTTCCTCTCCCTATAATCTTTGCTAGTTTATATACAAGCGTAACGCTAAAATTCATTAATTCATTCATTAAAAGCTGGTTTTAGCAACAGAATATCGCTGATATTCATTTGGTTACCCAGAAATGCTTCGTTAGAAGATGATGATTCTACGGGAGCAAAAAACGGACTTCAACGCACTGCTCCACTTAACTTTCTTCAATTTCAACTCTCAAGTGATCGGTACGCTTAACGCCCTTAGCACAACACCGAATTCCCTTCAAGGAGTCCGCGGACATGGGACCACCCAGAAGGGTTGAGACAAATTTATGGTTAGCGACTTCGTAAGGCCTCTTCAACTAGCGTGAACTGGGGCGAGCAGAGCATAGCACTGACCTTTTCGATGAGGATCTCGAGAAGCCTATCAATGCATTCGTCGACGCTGAGCTCGGCTGTGTTGAGACGCAAGTCTGGGCACTCGGGCTCCTCGTACGACGAGCTGATTCCAGTGAAGTCCTTGATGATGCCCTTGCGGGCCTTGGCGTAGAGGCCCTTGGAGTCGCGCGCCTCGCAAACCTCCAACGGAGTGGAGAGGTACACCTCGATGAAGGGCAGATTAGCCTTCTCGTGAAGAAGACGGGCAAACTTACGCTCCTAGGATGCAAGGGAAGAAGGCCAAGAAGAAAGTAAGCTTAGATTCCGTAATTACATCGACGAGAGCAGAGATAGAACCAAAGGCGCTGGATAATAGCCTTCGTTGGTGCTGAAACTTGATCTGAATCCGCGGATTTGCTTAAAATGGGCTACCCATAAAACAGATTTCTCAATGCAAGTGGACATAGTTTTAAGACGGGACCTGATCTCAGCTCTAACAATTAAAACTTTTTGTTGGTTTAGGAACAGAAACTGCCCCCAAAATCGTGCAATTGCGTCATTACAGTTAGGGTTATGAAGGAATTCATGAGCGTAGTTTCGAAATTCTGTGAAAGAGCATGAGTGAAACGTCTGGAACTCAAGTGTCTTGTGGGTGAAACTACTTACCTTTTCATAGGGACTAATGAAACTGGTTATAATGCATGTGCCTGAATCAGCAAACAGCTTGGCCATTTCAGCAACACGTCGGATGTTTTCTGCTCGATCTTCAGCGGAGAAAGTAAGATCTTTATTTAGTCCCAGACGCACATTGTCCCCATCAAGAGAGTAGGCGCTCATGCACAACGAGACGAGTTGACGTTCAAGCGAGAAGGCCAAGGTTGACTTGCCGGAACCACTCAATCCTGGGGAAAATGAAATTTTTAAAATCAAGGTTAGAGTGACCTCTCTGTGTGTGTTATAAACTCCAAAGGTAGAATAAAAACAGTGCCTGTTCGATACAAAGTAACAATGACATAATTTTTAGTCAAACATAAAGTGACAATAAAACATTGTTTGTTAGATACAAAGTAACGATAATACTAACAAAAAAGTAACAATAGTAAAAAGTGAAAGCAATAATATCGCATCTAGAAACAGGAACATAAAAATTAAATTAAGGCAAACGCATCATAATTCCACTCTGCATGAGGACACATACGGAACACAACACTCGGCGAACGCAAACAAGACCGTCGTTAAAAATTGTTAGGGAGGAACTAAATCTCGACTTACAACAGCGGAGTTGTCGTATGTTCAATAAATGTACTTAGGGTATATAACTATTTGATCACACAAACTAACCTGTGAACCAAATAGTACAGCCCCGAAATTTGTCCTTGTCACCAGCAGCGCAAGCGCGGTCTTCGCGACTTACAGTGTGTACGGCTTCAACCAAATTAGCAGGGGTACGTTCGATCTATACAAAAATGTGAGAAAAACCTTTGCGATTGCGTTAGTATAAAAACGTGTATAAGGACAGTTGGGTCAAGAATAAAAGGAGCCAAAATAAAGTATTGAGGGGAATTGGACAAACAAACAAAGCCTAATTTTCACGGAGTAGATAAAAGAATTCAAGGAGCAAATACACTTTAATAACAGAATACAGAACCATTATATCTTGAAAAGGAGTGCAAAATACAAATCTAACGCAAGCTTTTAATGGTTTCATACATGCATCGACTCAGAATTTCAATCATTTTGCAACTGCCGAAACGTCAACATTGAATTAAGACTCGAAAAGATTACATCAGATTTAAAGTAAACTAAAAACCAAATCAATTATACAAATTGCCATTAAAAGAGCAGTAAACATTTATACTATTTAAAAAACCCTAAGTATCTTGCGTATAAATAAAAAGCAAAGTTGCACATACCAAATGATTATCAGCCATAGAGAACAAAGGCAGAACAGCAGACAAGAATATTTGGCCTTGACATTTTTGATGATAAAACTAGGCTGTTTAAACACATTCTAATTCACAGTATTTGTTTGCAATTTGTAGGTAAAATGTGAAAAAAACTACAATAAAAAAACTCGCAAAAATAAAGCCTAAATAGTATTTGTCATTTTAAGCTATATGCAAATGCTTAGTAAGATGATATTTATTCAAAATTCATATAAAAGACAAAGACATGTTATACACCTAAATCTGTACTAATGTCCAATTGTGATCAAAGATTGTGCTGAGATCAGTTTTAAGCTTAAGTTCTAATCGTCCGAACTAAATTTAATTTCTGTTTCCAAATCAAAGTTTCACATTATCCGACAAAATACGACCAATGGCGATTGACTGTTAACACAACGTGGAAGTCATTTCACATTTTTAAATAAACTAGGTTTCAGATGTAAGGCTAGATCATAATCTAAGTCCAAATGTACTTCTGAATTATATTCTTTTACCGCTACTTTAAATTTAAGGTCCCATAAACAAACTTGATGATATCGCGTTGGAAAAAACTTATAATTGGTTGTGGTGACATCTTTCTGAATTAAGTTTAAATTTTTTGGCGATCTTAATTTACCAAACAAATATATATATATATATATATATATATATATATATATATTCTGTATATTCTATATATATATATATATTCCTTGAAC